CAGAAAATTACACACTAAAAAATAATACTTACTTTCAGTTCACTTTTGACTAAAACCGGTAACATAAGAACCATTTTTACTGAATTTCAGCCTCGAGTATATGAATTTAAGTCCTAAAATTGACCTAATCTTTTAAGATAAAAATTACGCTAGTTTTCAGGCATTTTGATTTTAAGGTGTTAACGGTTTTAGTATTTGTTTTTTGTGTGTAAAAGGCATTAAAATAAGCTGCAACGCTTATTATATTTTAATCCAATTTTGCTTATTTTAATACTAAAATGGATTAAAATAAGAAAAATTCGATTAAAATAATAAGCGTTGCAGCTTATTTTAATGCCTTTTAATTTTCTGTGAAAATTGTCAGAAAATCCAAACAATTTAGAATTTATTTTGCAAATTAATAAAAGTAACTTTATTTTTGTTTCCGACAAATAGAAAAAATTATAAAAATTAAAAAAATTAATTAATAAAAAGATGAATTATTACGCGTGTATGGCATAATAACAATAATTTCCATCGCATAATAATGTCAAACGCGAGTATATAGATTGATCTCGAACTTGACTGCGCGTGTTTGCGCGCGCGCTTTCTTTATGGGAGAGTTGAGATTGCAAACTCTCCTCTCCATTTCTCTTGATGCGATGAGTGTGTATCGTTTCATTTTCTACATTGCTGTAAATTCCCTTTTTCAACGATCACTCGCGTGACACTTTATTGACGCAATTATTGCTCACACGGAGCAATTTTGTAAATTAAGAAAAAAAGAAAAATTCCTCTCTCTCTCTCTCTCTCTTCCGTCATCGTCACGTCTTTTTATAATTTTTTTTTCCTTTTATATGTGAATTGCATAATTTTAGCTTGTTAAGACCTCATATGTACTTTTGCGAAATGTAGTTTAATATCATTTTTTTTATACCAGAAAATGTTGATTGCTCATTAAGATTTTTTATTTTTTAAAAAACAGTTTGTATTTTTGCTTTTTTATTAGTTTTTTAGTTCGCGTATTATTTTAAGGTCGCTAAAATTTGAATTAGTAAACATTTTAACTAATGACTAGTGAATTAATTTTTATTTTTGAATTAGTAAAAATAACTAATTAATAGCAAAAAAAAATTATACTAGACAATTATTAAATTTTAACTTTCCTTTTTATTAGTAAAATTTAACTATTTAATAGTAAAAATATCGAATTAGTACATTTTACCAAATCCAAAATAAAATTGTGACACAGAAAATTAAAAGGCATTAAAATAATAAGCGTTGCAACTTATTTTAATACCTTTTAATTTTCTGTGAGTCACTAATCCCAATTAGTTAAAAATTTTACTAATTCAAATTTATAGAGAATACCATAGCTAAAAAGATTTCCTAATATTTAAATCAATTATTTTTTAAAATAGTTTTAGGTTTAAAAAATGAATTTTACAAAAGCTTTTTTGTTCAAAATGTACCACTAACAAAAAATTATTTTATTAAAAATATTTTTCTAACCTTATTATAATCTGTAGAGGGCAACCGATGTAACTTAAGATTTTAGACAAGATCTACTGATGGAAACACACACGCGATTTAAAAAAAATTCGTACACTCCCGAAATTAAAATTTTGAATTTAAAAAACAAAATACTTTTTCTAAATATTTAATCGATCGCGATTTAAGAAATTTTGAACACTCAAAAAATAAAAAATTTACTAAAATGACAAAAAAAAAATTTTTTTAAATTTAAATTAAAATTTAAAACTTTTTTGTTCGCGTATTAAAATAATCGAGCATTCCCGAAACTATATTCACTATTCTTTGAAAATATCAAATAAAAAACAAAAGAAAAATAATTAATTTTATAGAAAAATTTATATTCACGTGACTACGTATTAACAGGTCAAGACACGAATTGCAACTGATTGAATTGTTTTTCGGATTTACCGCATTGTTATTGACCTTCGTCCCTTTGTACTCTTCAATAAACAAACATACAGATCGGGACCCAGGTATAAAAGTAATAAAGTTCATTGAACTTAATTTAAATAAATAAATAAAATTCCAAAAATGCTTCATTAAATATATAAAGTATAATAATTTAATAAATTAAATATATTTTTAAAATAATTTTTGCTAGTGATGCGATTTAAAATAATTCTATTTTTTCAGAATTTTATTTTCAAAACAATTGAATAAAATTTGCTTATTTCACTTTAATTAAAAATTGTTATTTTAAAGATTTCAATATTTTCATTCTAAATAAACGATTTTTATTTGAAATTATAATTCCCTGTTTTTTCCCGGTTAACATAAAATTCCAAACTAATTCCCAGTTTTCTCGGATCATTTATGCGGCCACCCTGCTTATTTTCTGAATACGTTATAGAGTTGTTCAAAATTATATTTAATTATTAGCCCCCGAGACCTGTATTTCTCGCGTCTCTGTTTCTTCATTTTTTTTTCTCTCTTCACAAGATATGACCACTATTTTCCATGAAATCATTTGACACATTCTACTTTTGCAGCTTCGAATCATATATGAGCGTGTGTGTGTGTTGTTAACGGCAGTTAAACTTCTCGGTGTTTTGCATTTATTTATCCTTTTTTTTCCATACGCGATCGTCATTACATATATATATATATGAAAGAAAAGGTGTCACGGAGACAGCAGCCGAGGTTACTGTTACGAGAGTCGTTACAGTGAAAACATAAAGTCTATTTGCCAAGAATAAATATCTTCTTCCTCTTTTTAACTTGCGCGCGTTCTGGTCAAAGAAGTCAGTTGGTGGTCTTCATGGGTCATGGTCGAGAGGTTCAATTTTCTCTCTCTTTATTACATTTGAAAGGGACCTTCCTGATATTAGACAAACGTATATATATATATATATATTTTTTCCTCTATATTGGTCAGTGTGCTAGAAAAAATTCATTTCCTAACCTTAAAAATTCTTTAAGACAAATTTGATTATTGACCTGAATTTCATTGATGAGTTTACAAATACAAGAATGATGATTTTAATGAAGTTGTTGAATTATTGATTAAAATGTTTTGTTAGCATTCGATGACAATCAATTTTTTGTATTAAGGCGATATTTAAAAATTTTTTGTTATAGTTGGATACAAAGTGGCATTGTGGAAAAACGGGACCTGGTACATATGGGAAGCTGCGAGGAATGTTGTTACAAGAATTGTTGTATATTAGACGCAGAAAAGAGACATAAAAGCTTGACCAAGTCTTGATGTTAACGGTGCCTCGTACGAATTGATTGACAATGATTGAAACCCGCAAGGTCTCAAAGAACAATTCCCGCGAGTGTGAGAGTAAATGTTCTCTCTCTCTTGTTTCTGGTGTGACCCCATGGAAATATAAATAAAAGAGAAAGGGCTCTTTCAATTTTTTTAGAGGAGCATCCAATTTTTAAAGGAAAATTGGAACAGATTTAGAAGAAGAATTAATTACAGGATAGTAAAATTTATTTTAGGATCGAGTATCGTATGAGTTGAAAGTGCTAATTTTTCAAGAAATAATAGAATTTTGTTCTGTAGAATATTATTTTTGCAGAATAGTTATTCAGAAGAATCTTAATTTTGCAGAAAGCAGATTAGAAAGAAGATTATCAAGGAGCTTAGAAAGAATATTAATCTAACAGAATATTTATCTGTTCGAATATTAATTTTAAAATTCAAATGTTCAAAAGCAAAAAATGTTCTCACTCAGAAAAATATGCTATTGAATCAACAGCATTTCTGCTAAAGGCATAAAAATTATTGATTCTGAAGCATAAAGAATTTTTAAAATATTATATTCTATAGCATATGCTTCAAAATCAATAATTTTTATGCCTTTGGCAGAAATGCCGTTGATTCAATAGCATATTTTTCTGAGTGTAGGAATCCTTAGTTAATGTTACTCTGATTTTTAGGGGTTCCACTTGTCACTATAGAAGCCTAGCTAAATGGCCTACACTCAGAAAAATATGCTGTTCAATCAACAGCATTTCTGCTAAAAGCATAAAAATTATTGATTCTGAAGCATAGGCTATAAAATCTATATAATATTTTACAAATTCTGTAGCATATGCTTCAAAATCAATAATTTTTATGCCTCTAGCAGAAATGCTGTTGATTCAATAGCATATTTTTCTCAGTGCATCTAAATAAAAATTCTGTAAAATTAAAATTCTGTGCAACTTTTTTCTTTGAAAAACTAAAATTACTATTCTACAAAAATAATCTAAAATCTATTAAATCATAATTCTAAAAAAGCATACATTTATTCATTCGTTTCAAAATTATTTACGAAAATTAAAATTTGAATAGCTTCTCAACTTTTTAGAAATACCATTAATTGAAAGCACATAATTTATAATTGAAAGTACCATTGTTTAAAACCATAATAAATTAAAATTATTTTATCAATAACTTTTTGTTATATTGTCGCAGGTGGACAACCATAATGAAAATAATTCTCTAATTCGCGCACAATAGAATAATATAAATCTCAATGAAAATCGCGCAGCTACTAAAGAAGTATGAAATTATGAAATAATTGAATAGAACTTTTCTCTTCCTACTTTCTTTGTGCTTAGAAAGTAGTTAGAAAAAAAAATAAAAATAAATTAGAATAGTAGCGATATATCTTCCCTCTTTCTATATATGACACGCCTCTTTTGTAAATCTTAAATAACGTTTTACCTATCAGTTCCATCTACACCTTCCTATAACAATTCCGCAGAAGGTGCATTAAGCGCGTATATATGTTCTCGAGATTTTCTGTTACGCGCGAACACAACAAAAGCATGGAATCACCTATTAAAACTTTGCAAATCACTTAACCTTTTGTGTATTTGCCATATGTGCTTTTCCCTCACCGTGACCACATTATATATTTTTTTTTTAATAATAAAAGTCACGTTCGCTCTATTGTCTCATTTTTTTCTCTTTTCATTATCAGAAAATTCTGACTTTTTTTTTCTAAATATTTGTTAAAAAAAATTTTTTTAAATTTTATTTGACTCACCCTTTCAGTTGCAATCCGCTTCACTTCCTCGAGTAGGTTGGCTGCAGGTGACAGGTAACTCTTGACAAAGTTCTCGAGATTTCCATGATATGCACACACCAAAATATCCCGTGCTTGTCTCGTTAAAAGGTCGAGTACATCTTCACCGTAAATTGGTCCCAAAAAAGTCCGCACCAATGAAGCAGCATCTCCTCGTGTCTGTAACATATATTTATCAATTTTTTATGAGTGAAAGCGCGGATAAAAATATATCGTGATTGATCCAACCGTGTATAATTTAATTTAATTTCTTTTATACATATTTTTTTTTGTATATATTATTATTTATATTTTATTTATAAATACAACTTTTAAATATAGTTTGAGAAAAAAATAAAAATATAAAATGTTTTATGATGTGAAAAGTTTTGTGTTATGGGTCACGTGTTAGTGACACTAGAACGGAAACCGGAAGATGAAGAAAACACCGTACTCAAGTCAAATCTAGAGGGGTCAGAGTAAACTAGCCGTTTATGTTGTGGTGACGAATTGTGCACAATTAATTTTATACGGAAGAGTACATCAACGTTGATACTGGACCCCTTCTTATATATTATATCAAGCTAAATACCTATATATTAATGATAGTAAATTGAAATTATTAAATAATTTTCATCTTCTATTATATTCGAAATTATCTATTATAGTGCAACTTGTAATTTAATTCGCAATTTTCTAATTATAATTAATTTTCCATATAGGGAAAATGTGGTTTTTATCTAGATGAGGTAAAAATTACCTGCAACATAACTTCTCCAAGGTTGGCAATCCAGCATTTTTTCTGAATTTTGGATTTGATTTTTAAGTTAAAAAATTTTACTCCTAATTTTCCATTAACTCTAGAAATTTTTTAAGGTCAACTTGTATCGTTACTTATTATATTTTGATTCTGTTTGCTTCTTGACCCTTTCAATCAGATGTTGAAAATACTTGCACTGAGAAAAATATTCTATTGAATCAATAGCATTTCTGCCAAAGGCATAAAAATTATTGATTCTGAAGCATATGCTACAGAATTTGTAAAATATTATGTAGATTTTATAGCATATGCTTCATAATCAATCATTTTTATGCCTTTAGCAGAAATGCTGTTGATTGAACAGCATATTTTTCTGAGTGTAGGCCATTTAGCTAGGCTTCTATAGTCACAAGTGGAACCCCTAAAAATCAGAGTAACATTAACTAGGATTCCTACACTCAGAAAAATATGCTATTGAATCAACGGCATTTCTGCCAAAGGCATAAAAATTATTGATTCTGAAGCATATGCTACAGAATTTGTAAAATATTTTATAGATTTTATAGCCTATGCTTCAGAATCAATAATTTTTATGCCTTTGGCAGAAATGCCGTTGATTCAACACCATATTTTTCTGAGTGTAGGCCATTGAGCTAGGCTCCTATAGTCACAAGTGGAACCCCTAAAAATCAGAGTAGCATTAACTAGGATTCCTACACTCAGAAAAATATGCTATTGAATCAACGGCATTTCTGCCAAAGGCATAAAAATTATTGATTCTGAAGCATATGCTACAGAATATAATATTTTAAAAATTCTATATGCTTCAGAATCAATAATTTTTATGCCTTTAGCAGAAATGCTGTTGATTCAAAAGCATATTTTTCTCAGTGTAGTTATTACGGCAAGGAATTTTTTGGGATAACTAGGAATCCTAATTAATGTTACTCTGATTTTTAGTGGGTTCCTCTCGTGATTATAGGAACCTACCATAATCTGCTAAGCATTTTTTTCAGTGTATTAATTATTGTCGTTATTAATTATTTCGAGTTGTGTTGAAGTAAATATCAGTCGTCAGTTATCTAGTCATCGTCGTCGTTGATAAATTCAGCGTTGGTTCGTTTACTTATTGTTCGAATCTTAATTGTTTGGTCACCATTTCCCCGATGATTTTTTTGATCAGAATTTCCCTTTGGAGTTAAGATAAATTAAGTGTTCGAATAATATGGACTATTTTTATTAATGATTCTAAAAAGATTTTACCATTATAAACTATTCAAATTTCAAGACTAATACACTGATTTTAATCTAAGGATCACGAGTTAACAATTCAAAATCTATTATCCGTATCGCAATTGTAGATAAATATCTCTTCGGAATTTTGTTAAACTTAACCAAAAAGCAAGATTACTTCATCTCTGATCTTTATGGTCGTAGTCGTCGTTGTCGAAGAATGTTAATATCCCCCTCGCAAATACCGCAACAAACATCGAGCATCGTTGAACTAGTTGCTATTTCATTTCCTAACATAATGGCCTAATCCCTGAAACGTTGGGTAATGTTACTTACTATATATTTCGCAGTAGGTATATGCATTGGCATATTTGCTCTGCTCTCAAGTATACATACAGTGATAGAAAGAAAGCAAAAAAAAAAAAAGAATTCGCATTCTGAATCACAAGTGTATGGTTTTCCCTTTGGAAGAATGTGGGTGTATTGTGTATCGATTGGCGGCATAAAGTGCATAAACATCGTGGTTTAGTGTGGCAGATTGGAGAGACCGCTTATTCGTTCGATGTAACTATTATATTCGTGAGTTGGTCTTTCTCTCTCTCTCTCTCTCACTCTCTCGAACTCGCCCACGTGTTTCCGCCCTCATGGTGCGTGTACAGTTGACCATAACATGAGACATATAAAAAAAAAAAGAGTCTGCACAAAACACGACGATATGTGCTGCGAACTCGGTCTCATCAAAAAAATTTTTTTCCCTTCACGCATCTTTTCCCATATATACATTTGTATTAACTATACCATGATGATATGGGGAAAGTAGGAAAACCATTATTTTTTTTATGACCATATACAGAAATTAGGTTTTAGATGAATCCATTCACTTTAGATAAGTTGAGAGATAAAACCAAGTGCCGAGCAATGTTGGAATTTAAACACATAAATAAATATAGTTCGAGAAAAAAAAAGCAGATTTTTCGTTTAAAATTCTTGTGCGACTCGAATTGTATATTTCTAAGTACTCTCTCTCTATCTCTCTGTGAGTCACTTGCGATGAAATTATAATTTATTTAGGCCAATGTAAAAAATTAAACCCACTTTAAAAAGAAGGTTATTCTGAATCTTTTATCAAAAAAAAGATTTTTCCAAAATAGTTTCAGATTAAATAGTAGTGGCATTTGTGAAACGAAAAATATCGAATTTCACTCTCAATTTCAGTTTTTCGAAGAATGTATTATTATATAAGGGTAAAAGGAGGATAAAAAAAAAGAAGATCATTGGGATAATAATGTTGAGCGCCATCTGATGTGTTGGCGTAAGGATGCGTTACAGGGCCGTGAAGATTCAAAAGGTGTGCTCGAGGGGTGTAACCGGATACAAGTGACGAATAATAGAACTGACGACCTTGTCCGATAAAACGTCACATTACACGAAGGCGCCTTATATATAAAGAACAAATTCGAAATATTTTCTCCAAACAATGAATTTTAACTAAAATTATTTTTTCCAAACACCTCAAGTTCCTGAGTTCAAAAAGCTTTGTTTCTGAATTTGAATTAGTAATCAATAGAAAAAATTGTTATATAATAATTTTTAGATACAAAAAATTATTAAATAATTTTTTTTTGAGATACAAAAACACAGTTGATTTCAATGAGAAAAAGTCAGCCCTATTTGAAAAAAAAAAAAATTCCAAATCATAAATCTCCCTGGTGCATTATTATGAACTCTCGGCAAATAAGAACCGAGCAAATAAGCAAACATCAATATTTGGTCACGGATATTTAAGTTTTGAATGAGGAGGGGAAAATTATGAAGTTAGCTTGGCAAAAAAGAATAAAAAAAACACATTTCGACTGGTGAATGCATTAAAAAAAAAAAATAAAAAAATAAAATAAAGTTTCGTCAAAGGGTGAATTTAACCCTATTGTATTCATGATGGGGTTGCACATGTAATGCTTAACGAGAAGAATAGTCATAAATTAAGTGCAATTCACGAAGACAATTTTAATCGACCGCCTTATGGGCTGGCGTTTGTTTATTAATGCGTTTTCGCCATGCGTCGACCTTGATTTATGGCACCCTCACGTATATATATATAAATAAATATATATATATATATGGGAACGGGTGCTAATGTATGGTGATTTATATATACGCGACGATAAGGAGCTTCGGGTCCAAAAGTCCAGTTACTTTTATGCACTTGTCTATGCAAAAAAAAAAACCCTATTGTTTAATCGATTAAAAAACCGCGTGTCCTACATTCTTCGAATTATTATTAATTATTTATCTTCCAATAGAAATTTATTTAAAAAAAAAAATTTAATTTTTCCATAAATGTAGAAATTTTCCTACCAGGGCCATAGTAGGGAATGTAACGCCACACCTGATCAGGGCCAAATCAGGGCGACCAGAAAATGTGCGGATTTCCTAATCAGGGCCACATCAGTCGCGGCTATTCCCTAATAGGACAGCCTGTTCAGGCCCCGATCTGGGCCCTGGCAAAATTTCTGCACGGAAATTCCATACACACAAAAAACAAATACTGAAACCGTTAACATCTTAAAAGCAAAATGCCTGAAAACTAACGTAATTTTGATATTAAAACTAGATTAGGTCAATTTTAGGACTTAAAATCATACACTTAGGGCTGAAATTCAGTAAAAATGGTTCTAATGTTAACGGTTTTAGTCAAAAGTGAACTGAAAGTAAGTATTATTTTTTAGTGTGTATGAGAATATCAAATATTATTTTTTCTAAATGTTCTTCATTTTGGAATAATTAAATAAATAATATTCAAATAATAAAATAAAAATAATTAATAAAAAAAGTAACTAACGATCATAGGGTAAAAATAGAGTTATATATTAGAAAGTGAAACAAGAAGTTGATATTCTATTAAACATATATATTGAAGAAAATAGATTGATGCTGTAAATATTATTCAAATAAATTCAATTATTTTTATAATATGAAATGATAATAATTAAATTAACCCACAGTGGTGGTGGAAGCGACTTGATAATTCAAAGTTGTCCTGACAGAGGCCCTCAGGCGTCGGTTTCACTATACATATATATATATATATATATATATATATATATATATATATACACGAAGGGAGAAAATCAATGAGGTTACTGACAGGATAGAGATTTATGTCCAAGTCTACAAAAGTTCATCATCG